GTACTCTGTACACTTCCTGTACTTTTGTACACTTCCTGTACTTCTGTACACGACCTCTACTGCTGTATACTTACTATACTTCTGTACACTTCCTGTACTCTGTACACTTCCTGTATTTTGTACACGACTTCTACTTCTGTATACTTACTATACTTATGTACACTTCCTGTACTTCTGTACTTTTGGTACTTCTGTACTTCCTCTCATTCTGAAGTGCTTTACTGCACCATTATTATCCCAATATTGCAGATGTTACAATGTTGTGGGTTAGAGTGACCATGGATGTTTGTCTTTGCTCTCAAGTGGAGGTTCCAGAAGGCAGGGATTACGGTTTTCTCTAGCATCTATAAGAGAGCCTGGCATATAATAGCCACTCAATAAATACTTGTTGAATAAATGACTAAACTTCTGGGGAACAGGAACTGTGTGTTTTTAATCTTCAGATCCATCACAGCATCTTCACATTAAAAATAGGTCAATAAATGTCTTTCTAGATTATTCATTTAAATAGAGTTCATGTCCTAACATCTTTGCAGGAAGAGCCTTTTACAGGGGAAAGTCCAGTTCTGTCCTATTGCATCACAGGCATCGTAGCTATAACCATGTTCACTTCCAGACGTTCACATCCTGTGACATATTCTCTCTGATGTGTGAAAGACAATATGTAAAAAGTTCTACAAGAGCATGTGTGTGTGCAGAACTGTGCACACATGTGTACGTGCACATACACACAATTTAAAAAAACAGAGTCATTTTTTATGGGGAAAGAATTGAAATCAACCCTAACTCTGAAAGCTGAAATGTATGCGGCCATCTTCCTAATGAGTTTTTCTAATGTTCTGGAATTCTTTCCTTTTGTGGGACCAGGCACAGCATTTTACATATGGGGGGGTCTTACCTCCATGGATGCCAAAGACCAGGTTTTAAACTTTAAACATTTTCACCCACACTAGTTTTCAGTATTTGCTGATCAATTGAGTGGTTATTCTACAGAACTTAGGAGCTGTTTCCACATGAGCTTTCTGTTTGGTCTGTTGGGTTATTTATATTGTACAAATGAGCATTCATTTCTGTCTGCATGTGACCTCTTTTCCAGGGAAGTTCCCTTGAAGGATGCTAAGGAATATGCCGAATCCATAGGTGCTGTTGTGGTTGAAACAAGTGCAAAAAATGCTATTAATATCGAAGAGCTCTTTCAAGGAATCAGTAAGTACCTGAACTGCGTTCTCGGCTTTGCTTACATTTGTATGCCTCTGAGAGTCAAAGGATAAAATCACAGGATGCTGCCTGGAGCTTTCCCTCTGTGTGACTCTGTCTGAGGCCACGGATATAAAACTTATAGTCTGCACTTGTTAGTCCTGACCTATATCATGCCTCCCGATTCTGAATTTCCACAGTTCTGTGCTTTAACCTGTCAATTCTATGTTTTATGAACCAAAATGAAGTAACTGTGTTGCAAAAGAAGCCATTATAATTAAAAAGTTGTGTGTTTGATAGCATTTTGTGTTAGTAATGTTGAGGGGGAGGAGAAATAAAACAGACAGTGATAAGGTGTAGAAAACTAAATCATGTGTTAAACAGAATGACTCTAGGCAAACAAAATAAAGGGACCTTTTAGTAATTTCTTTCACCTGGTGGTCATCAAAAAAAATGAGTCTCCATCCCACAAGACCTGAAATTGGGAATTAGGTGGACAGTGGATTTTTCTCATTTCTGATCAGCCAGCTAGTAGAAGGTGGTGGCTCCCTTCTTTGTCTCCTGTTCTGGGTCATGTTAAATTCCCTTTATGCTGGTTCCCCATAAGTCACCTTTATCTAAGACCTGTATCCCAGCTGACGGCCAGAATTCCCCTTCACAATTTCTTTGGTAAAGATGTTCTGCACTGGGTCCCCTCAGAGAGCTCCCTGCTGCCGGCTGTCTTGGGAAACTGCCCTGGGTTGCCCCCAGAGCATAATGGGGGACTTTGCCCAAGTGTCAGCCTTTACTGAGGTGCTGGGACTCAGAGGCCTGGGGTGCCCGCCTTCAGAAAAGTTGAACCCCTGAACAGTTGGCCGTTGTTCTCAGAGGTCTTATCTGGTTCCAGATAATTCCAGAAGGGCATTCCAGACGGGAAACCGATGGTTTGATCTCTCTTCTGCCTGAAGTCATTGTTGGCGGTGCTCTCAAAGTCAGAGGGGCTGTCACTTCCCAGAACAGATTTGATTTCCTTTTAACTGGTTTTGGTTCATTACTTTAGGCTCTGAGAACACATAGCAGGGATTATTTTGTTTGTTTCTCTTGGCTTGACGGGGAATTTCACTTGGAGATGGGGAACTCTGGCCTGGGTTACTTACACGATATAGAAATGCACATAAACACACACAGCCCCAGCCTGACTTGTTCCCTGGGGTCCATATCACCTTCCCTCCCGTCCTCCTTCGGAGGCTTTGTGTTCCCGCTGTTATTTTACGCTCTCAACAGATTAATGTTACCCAAGCGCGTTGTCCTTAGTGGTTGGACTCTAGAGTGCTAGGCTGTAATTTTATGTTGGAAACCCTGGATTCCCAGACTCCTGCTCCTTCCTGACAATGGGCCATGGCTGCAATGCTCTGCTGTGAAGCCACCGATCAGCTGCCCTGTTTCTGTGGAACGCTGGGTGACATCTTAGAGCGTTTGGCTTGAACCTGTTCCATTAACCTCCTTTTCCTTCATATCAAACTCATTCTTTTCCGGTGGCGTTTGGCTTTTCTGGCAAGTTAGGCAAGTTGTATGACGATTCAACATTTTGTTTTGATTAAACATTTTAATTAGTGAAACTAGATAGCTCCTGATGACCATGACATTGACCCCTTTCCTTTGTGCAGCTCCTTATATGTTCTGGAGCCCTTTCCCCAGCATTAGCCCCCGGCAGACAGGTGGTGCAGATGGCAGTGGCCAGCGAAGGAAGCACAGTTCTCTGCACACCTGAGATTCAGCTGGAGATTTCTGCCCGAGCTGGGAGACTTTCTGAGGTTTACATAAATCATTATTAAAATAAAGAATGAAATAAGAACTGCAAAGAAGAAAATAAGCCCAAGCGGCAGGTATTAATACCTTACCTGAAAAGATACTTCTTTGTATGGTGCAGTCAGTAGACATCTCTTCACCCATATGAGGTCTTTATGGCTCAAGGTGATGGGGACTATGAGTAAGGAATTCCTAAGATCTTGGTGGTCTGCTTCATTTAAGAAAAAGCACATGTTTGAGGTGCCTGGGTGGCTCAGTCAGTTAAGGGTCTGCCTTTGGCTCTGTTAATGATCCCGGAGTCCCAGGATGGAGCCCCACCTCCGGCTCCCTGATGAGTGGGGAGTTGGCTTCTCCCTCTACACCTCCCCCCCACTCGGGCTTGCTCTCTCTCTCTCAAATAAATAAATAAATAAAATCTTTAAAAAAATGAAAAATCATGTGTTTTGCTTAAAGCACTGGATAATTATGGCTTCAAATAATTAATTTCTATATAAGCCATAGAATAGTTGTGCCACCTCATCTTCTATGTCAAATAAACAATTGTTTATTTCTGTTTCATTATACTTGGGTTAAAATTGCCTTAGTAAAGAAGCGTGTAGGTACACGGCCTGCGGCAAGACCTCTAGCCATGTATACTGTAAGGGCTGGTGCCTCTTTACTCCTTCAGGTGAATTTTTTCAGAATGGGGTGTTGTAGCCTAATTACAAGTTAATTTAGAATGCAGCACCAAGTACACCTAAATACACGGCAGCAGACATTTTGTTTATTTTCCTTTTCCCTGTTCCTACTTGTATTACATGCGCTCCTCCCTGAGCTCAAAATAGAATGGGATATTGCTGACTTGTATGCTCCCTGAAGCAATGTTCCAGAGGCAAACGTTCCTGGGAGAAAAGATGCAATAAAAAAAAGTGGTGAGAATAAAAGCCCTTTGAAAAGGTGTGCTTAAACAAATTAATTCATACTGACTTGGAGGAAGAGACAGATGTTTCTCTCCTAGATTCCCTGAGTATTCATAAACCAGAAAGAGACAACCGTGTTTCCTAGACATGAGTTAATGTATGTGCGAACTGGAAATTGTTTAGCGAACTATTATCTGTTTGCGGAGGCTGAAGCTACCTTGTAAAGGAGTTGGGTGCTGCCCTGTTTTGGGGAGGGGGAGCTGTGCACAGTCTGTCCTCACATGGTGTCCTCTGATTGGCGTTCCTCCATGTGCCCTTTTCTCAATCCCATTTTTGGAGCTCCTTTACCCCGCTGCCTATGGCTCATTCTCCTCCATGCATTTCTCCCCAGAGTTGTTCATTTTCCTTTCTTGAGCTCTTATACCTTTAATTGGAACATTGGCGTTTTCCTCTTTGAGTTAAAAGATAAGAACTATTCTTGGCCAAGAAAATTGTGGTACATTTGAGTGTTTCAACTTTGTGCTATGAAAGCCCAAAGATATTCTGTTGCTGTCTACTCATGATAGAGTTACATTATCAAAACCAAACTCTTTTTTTTTTTTTTTTAGATTTTATTTATTTATCTGAGAGAGCGAGAGCACATGAGAGGGGGGAGGGTCAGAGGGAGAAGCAGACTCCCCGCTGAGCAGGGAGCCCGATGTGGGACTCGATCCCGGGACTCCAGGATCATGACCCGAGCCGAAGGCAGTCGCTTAACCAACCGAGCCACCCAGGCGCCGGTCTTCCTTATGAAACTCCTCTCTTGACCTGACTCTGTGATCTTGAAAGGCGGGGTCCAGAGCTCTGGTGTCTTCTCCTCAGAAGGCTTCGTCTTTACCTCCTCCTTCGCACATCTGCCGTTTCTGACCCTGAATGCGATGCTCCTTCCTCCCTGCCAACCTTAATTCCTTGAAGGTCCAGTTCCTACCTTTTTCCTTATGAAGTCTTCATCTACACCAACTCTCATTGGGTGGTTCATGAGGTTACTTATGGCTTCCCCATCATTCTGATAATTGAATACATTTAAATGATTAAATTAAATGAACACATTAAATGAATACTCTACATGGTTCTCCAGGTGCTTTAGGTATATACCTATAGCAAGTTCTCTTTGAGCAGATCTTAACTCTGTCATATTCTCCATAAAGCTAAGATGAGTAAATAGGATAGGGCTAAATTCAGATTTTTGAATTTGGATCTTTGTCTTCACCTCATGATGTGCCAGGAACTACTATTTCAGTGTGGTCGCTAGATCAAGCAAAATGCAGTTGCTCTTCTATGGGGACTTAATGTTGGATGACACCAGTCCATCGGACAGGCCTGGTATCTCTTCGTTCATGTGTTCAGCAAACCTATCTTGTACTCTTCTGTGGGTTAGGTGCTTGCTAGACACCGGGACACCAAGATGAGCAAAACAAACTGGCTGTCAAGGCCAGAGAGAGCCTGTGGGCGCAGAGTCGAGTGAATGTGTAATTACACATTGTAATAAATGGTTTGAAGCAAAAGAACAAGGACGGCGGGGATGGCACAGGTGGGTACTTCAGATTGGGTGGGGGAGATCTCCCCAGGGAAAGGATTTTAAGCTGGACCTGGAAAATGGACAGAGGCCAATTGGGCAAAGAGCTGGGGAGGAACTGTCAGGCCCAGTGAGCCCCTGGGAGCCAAGTTCCTGAGGTGGGAGGTGGTGGGCTGCATTTAGGAGAAATGAATCTGCTGGTTTGCCGTGGGGAGCTCAGGCGCTGGGCGGGGAGACTAAGCCAGGTCCTTGCTGGCCCTGTCCTGGGAAGGAGGGGCTGGTATTCTGAATGCAGCCGGAAGCCCCCAAAAGTGTTGTAAGCAGGGGCGTGGCATATCCAGTTTACAGGGAAAGACCCCCCCACCCCTTGGGGAATGTGCAGGGAGAGAAAGGTTGGAAGTGTCTCCCCAGGCAGGGTGCTGTTGCAGTTGTGCCAGAGAGGGGAGACTGGGATGGGGTGGAGGAATGTGGACGTGAATTTCAGAACTCTTTTGGAAGTGGAACCAGTTACACAGGGCACAGGCTGGGCATTGGGACCTAGGGAGAGAGTGGTATGATCCAATCCGCACTCCCTGGGTCCCCTTTCCTGGCACAGGATGGCTCTCTTGGGGCTGCATCTGATGGGAGCCTACCAGACTGCATTCTGGAGTGTGGGAAGCACAGGTTTTGGTTTGTGCATTTTAATTATGCAACTTAAATACCGTTTTGGTTTCTCTAAAAACTCTCCCTAAGGGCCAAAAGAGGTAGAGCTGTAGGCTCACCAGAAA